ATATAAACATTCAAACCGTTAAACTTAACCCAGTCAGAAAAAGGTATGTAGTTGTGTCAATAAGTAAACTTCTTATAAACAAAGAAATAACATTCACAATCCTCTGAATAAGTTGATAATCACTAATAGCTTAATAATAAATATTATTAAAAAAATCAGACCGACTAAATATTCCATTTTCATATTTATTATTTGTTTCTAGTGAATAACAATTCCGAATTAAAATTGATCATAATCTCAATCAAAAACTCAATAATCTCCATAACCTTATACTGATAATTACCATGTGCTCACTAGTAATTAGCTTCGTGAGGAATTCTCGGAATTCTAGTGAGAAGTCGTGACCAGTGGAGTTAATCCGTGTTGGATAGAAACAGGTATCTACTTCAGTATAATGGAAGATTGTCGCGCAATTTTGCGGATTGGTTGTAGTTAGACATTAACACCGTTGGATGCCAACTCAGTGGTCTAGAGGTTAAGCGTTCGCGCGCAAGACTGAAGGCCCTTAGTTTGAATCATGGATCACGGATGCGCACTGCTAAGGAGTCCCACAATAGTACGAGACGGCCTTCCAGTGCTTCCAGGTTTTCCATGGTGGTCTAACGCCAATCGATACATGATCTCAATCAATAAAATAAACACTGAAGAAAATCTCATACACTATTATACGAGTGTCAATTAATGTAACATAACAAAAGACTATTTGTAAAAGTTTATGTTTCCATGTAGTTGGTTGATTCTGCAGACTGCAAATAAGAGTAATCTCTATTAGTATATGTACATCTTGAACGGTTTATCTCGATATATTAAAATCTAGTCTTATTTAATGGTAGACAATAGAATTCAGGATATGAGTTTAGTCCATTACAAATGAGATTCATATATGTTACACAAATATAGTGATTATTTGAATTCAATCGCTAATGCGTTGTGCATTTGTTGTGAAAGTAATGAGTTTGAGTTTCACTATGAAAAATAACACTTAAATGTAGGTAAATTCAGCTGACGAGTCTTGATTAGGAATAAATACATATTCTGGATTCTACTACTAGCCACTATCCAACTTCAACAAAAGTATCTAGATTTTCGTTTGGTAAATCTCAATATTAAAACAAGATATTTGAATTACACTACCAGTATGTAGTCATGTTTAAAGCCCTAAATAAAATTTTAAAAACAGTGCTACTATAATCTTAGATACAAAACAACAAGAAAAACAATAATAATACCATGGATAAGATTTGATTACAGTAAAGCCGAAACATATAGCCAAAACACTATTCAACGCACAAATCGCCCCAAGGTCACAGTTTAGTTTAGTTTAGAAATCTAAAAACAAATGAATTGGATAGATTACAGTATATAATTTATTCTCTTAAAGTAATTCAAAGATAATTGATTAAATTAGTTTGCTATTTATTATTGACTTATGAATGTTATCCAATCGAATCACACTTGACGGAGAAGCTTTGGAAGATGTGAAAACCTTTACATACATTGATGAACACGGTGGATCTGATGCAGATGTGAATGCGCGGATCGGCAAAGCAAGAGCAGCATATTTACAACTGAAGAAGAAATACTTAAAAGGAATTACTTGAAGTTAAACTAACTATTAAACTTACATAGGAATAATAACACGTTTATAAAAATAGTGATTTTTGTGATCATGTTTTCAATAAATGAATGAACACGTTGATAAGATGAAATTCTCAGTGTATTCATATCTGGTATAATCATGATACGCCGTGAGGAATTTGAATCATACCCGATCTATATTACAATTTTAGTTGAATTAGGATACGTGAACTACTTAAATTTGGGCTTACTGACCTTTTAGTTTAGTAAGAATTCTTGGGTTTTGAAGGTTTTACTTTTAATGTCAACTGATGTTATGGTATGACACTATTCTGGAGTTCTAGACTAGAATTGAAAAAATTTCTACCTTTATAATTCTAAATAATGTTCCAATTTTTTTCAGTACATGATTTTAAACGGTGACCAAGTAGTTTTGTGGATAAGCTACCTCTACAAAACTTGATCACCATACGTTTAATCCTTGAAGTAGTATTACATTTATATTGTAAGAGCGGTGACTAAGTGATTAAATTACCCTGGCTTCAATAAGTAGAGGCCATGTCCAATAACAGTTCCGATTACTCCAATTCGGAAAACCGCTAGGTGTTATCGGTTCTCATACTAACTGTGTGACTTAAATCCGTATACATAAATATGTACTTGGTGGGTAAAGATCAAAGTTATTTCAACTCTCTACAAACTCCTGAATTTAACTATTCCTAATGAAGAAAATTGTCGACCAGTTAAATTAACATTTTTAGCATTTATTACTTAGAATAGATGTATTGTGACTAGCTGTCGAGTTCAAGACACGCCTTACATCTTATTCACAACAAGTTAGCTTGATCTACCAGTATTTGTGTTGATATACACAACGAGATACGAATCCAGTGCTTTTCACTTCAAACTCCACAATCTATTCTATTCTGAATAACTTTTAGCATGATGGTTATTATCACGTCAATACTCAAAGAATGAATATATTCTAATAAAGATTGACCGAAATTCATTCCTTAATATCAACAACGGGATAACTCAATCCCTTACTAACAATGATGCAAACATCTTTTATTATTCAATGTACAATTTAGATATGATTTTATGATTCTTTAGATTAGCCATGCTTTTTTGTGTTTACTTATGTTAACTTATTTACATCTAGAAATGTTGCACCTTCATTTTTGTTTAAGTACTTTTCTTCGTCTATTTTTTAAGTTATTATTATTAAACTTGTTTATTTGCCTACAACTCATAATCAAATTGTCTAGCTAGAATACGTCAAAAATTAATTTTGATGTCATAATATTATCATCATCAAACCGAAGTTGTGGTTTGTATGAGTTTGATTTTGTACTGCGAAATTCCTCATGAAATTGGTACACACGTAATCTGGAGATAGTTTCCATCGAAAAATGAAATCGATTGGATAACAATCAGAAATTAGAGGATGGATGAATAGTTGTCACACCTTAGTTTAAGTATTCACCCTGAAATCAAAACAGATTCACAGCATTTCGGTATCATATTAGTAGGCATCGGGATAATATTATGTCACTATGTGAAACTGGTAGTGTAATTTTACATTTATTTGGAATAATTACTTTGTGAAGTACATATTGCAATCAATAAAATTTACCCATTAGTCAACAGTCAGTGGTCTTGAGTGCCGTTGGAGGTATGAGGGCGGTTATCACTTTATGGTTGCCCACACCGTCGAAAGGTTCTTCCAGAGGTACCTGGAGAAGAAATTAGGTTGGAGTTGGTCTTAATGACCTGAGAGAGTGACTAAAATGCCCAAGGGACAACTGATTGTGGATGATCACACACGGCCTTTTTATGTTAGCTCCCTACTTGTTGGAACCTTACCACCGGAGACGGAAACCTGTGGGCTAAGGCGTGGTGTGCATTTTAGGGTTGACCTCTTCTAACCACACCCTTCCTTGTAGGAAGACACCACCGCTGTTAGGCTGGTTGTGTGAAGGAAACACCTTACTGCTGCCACACTTCTGTACAGTACGACCTCGTCCTCGGATTCTGGTTTGCTGATTCTAGTCTTACTGCTCTTCAACTGACCTGCCTGACATGATGGTGTAGTGAACGAGAACACAAGTGGAGACAATCGAATGTATTTGAACATAAAATTACAGAGTCTCTTAATAAAATCTGAGAACCATACAGTAAATTGTTTATTTGCAAAATGTCAATCAGTTGTATCAAACTTGACTGATTCATCTTTTCCAAACAAATCACTCTCTGTTCTCGTTCTCTTCTCTTTGATCTTCTATCCTTCTGTCGCCAGGTATTTCACTTTCGACTGACGACACATACTACTTATATCTATCAGTAGTTACACCACATTAGGACCTTGAGGGATGGTTGTTCCGGCCAGTATAGTCCGATTGGTTTCTTCTGATCACTAAAAACATGTAGTACTGATTCCTTAACTCATAATGCTTTACAAAATATGAACAAATTAATCGGTGGTAATACGACCGAAGCGTAACGCTAAGTTTAAAGTAAATACAGAAATGAGACTTTTGGAATATTGCGAACTTCTAAAATAGGTGTGGCAAGTATTTGTGAATTGTGAGTTTATCAAATCAGAATAAAAAAAGGATAGAGTCACATCAATTTGGGAATTTGCTAGGAATCATTAAGGGCATATTAAACGATATTTTTCGCAATGTAATGATTCTTTCAACTAATCATAGATATCTCCTAACAATTATCATTCATTGCAATCATTGTAAGTAGCAGTTGTGCATATATGATGTGGAATTGGTGAAATAGATAAATGAACTAAATTTCACTTTATAATCGGCCTCTTCGAATGATTATAGTCAAACAATCACAGAAAACCTGAAACTTTTAAACAGCTGTTTCGTAATTGTATAGAACTCTCTAGAACTGCACACTTACAATTCCATTGGAGGTCGAACACATGAAATTGAGGTCTTGGAACAAGTAGTTAACCCTTCAATCATTTAATCGTATCCGATAGTTTACATTTCTAACTGCATTTAGTTTACGATATTACTACGCCTACTCTCCGGTTGGATAGCTATTGCTCACTGCCAAAGAATCCTATACTAGTATGAAACAGTTGTTCATTACTTCTTGGTCTTCAAGAATTATTAAACTAAAAGCACACCATGACGTTAAATATAAAATTAAAAAATCTAAACAAACCCGGCTATATAATAATAAATCTAATTTTCCTGACATTGTTCATAAAAGCTTAATACAATATAATGTATTTTTTAAGGGGTAAAGGCGATTTGAGTTAGATATGTAAACATTCTAGATAAACTAAATAATGACCTATTAAAAAAATTATTTCGAAAAGACTTTTCATCCCTTCAAACCGAATAAGGGCAAACTCTTAATTCTTATTCGTTACTTTTGTTATGTTCTTACAGGAAATGTTCCGACCATCATCATCATCATCATCATCATCATCATCATCATCATCATCATCATCATCATCATCATCATCATCATCATCATCATCATCATCATCATCATCATCATCATCATCATCATCATCATCATCATCATCATCATCATCATCATCATCATCATCATCATCATCATCATCATCATCATCATCATCATCATCATCATCATCATCATCATCATCATCATCATCATCATCATCATCATCATCATCATCATCATCATCATCATCATCATCATCATCATCATCATCATCATCATCATCATCATCATCATCATCATCATCATCATCATCATCATCATCATCATCATCATCATCATCATCATCATCATCATCATCATCATCATCATCATCATCATCATCATCATCATCATCATCATCATCATCATCATCATCATCATCATCATCATCATCATCATCATCATCATCATCATCATCATCATCATCATCATCATCATCATCATCATCATCATCATCATCATCATCATCATCATCATCATCATCATCATCATCATCATCATCATCATCATCATCATCATCATCATCATCATCATCATCATCATCATCATCATCATCATCATCATCATCATCATCATCATCATCATCATCATCATCATCATCATCATCATCATCATCATCATCATCATCATCATCATCATCATCATCATCATCATCATCATCATCATCATCATCATCATCATCATCATCATCATCATCATCATCATCATCATCATCATCATCATCATCATCACTGTCAATAACCTTCAGTCTGTATGATAAATTTCTTGATGTTGGAGCCCAAAGTTCAATTGAATGATGGAAAAACAAAAAAAGGACGACCAAGATATTCATTTAAAAGAAAGAAAATAATTGAAGTAGTCATGTCCTCTACCACTCATTGTAAACATAACCGTCCAATCAAATTCATTCATCATTTATCTATGGGTTGATTAATAATAGTGTAGATTAATCTTTTCGATAGGGATTCCAATCAGTCTTCTTAACAGATTGATAAATATTATAGGGATTCTAGAGAGAATAACTATTCTTCATCGATTTGATATTATAGAAATCCATTGTGTTATTCCACATGAACTAATGGAATTTTTAATTGTATTAGTTAAACAATTCTTGATCATGACGTCAGAATATGAATCGGCAACTAACACGAACAACGAAAACTCTATTATAAAGAGTACTTTTAGTCAAATGAAATTAATTTACATTAAATCAATGGTTTATTCCTGTTTTCAATAATATACAGCCATTTATATTTATATTATAAACAATCACTCAGTGTTAACAGATTTGTGATTTATTCTGATTTGTTTTATATCAGTTAAATGGTGAAGATTAGTAGTTGATACACTTATCATGGTATACACGTAATAGCATAGATACACACACAAACAAACATACTAAGTACTACCTTAAATATTTGTAAAAACATTAAGAAATATATTGACAGTGTTTATTAATTATTCCGTTGATTGAGAAAGCATATGAAGCTTATTCAATACAATAACAATAATAATGACACTATAACTACAAGTATAATTGTGCCACACACACATATATACACTCACTCATTCACTGACTGACATACATATCTTTAGGTGAAGAGAAAAATGAAGAAAGTACTGCACCCAACTGTGTATACACAGTACATCGACACATAAACTTACTGATACACATTGTTATTATTATTGCCATGATCAACATCATCACAATTAACATCGTAGTAAGTTGAATAGGATCACGTTATTCATCATTTGAGAAGATCAACACTGCTGGATGACGATTTTAATGATGCTGGTAGGGAATGTTTTAGTGATCTTAGGAATATAATAATAATAATAATAATATTATTATTATTATTACTATTATTGTTGATTATTTGGTGGAAAAGTTGTTTTATCGTTATTATAAACATTCTATATTCACAGTTTGAACAAGAACAGATCACAGAGATTTTCCACCACACTACTGTATAAACACAAACATGAAAGATGAGTATATTTTGATTTTGTCCTAGAGTTAATACATATTACTATTTAACTTAATTGATAAATTTACGCTATTAAAGTTTTCTATGTCATTGAATGAAGTATCATTTAATGAATAAACATAATAAAGGGAAATATAGTCATAGAATTGATTTATACAGGAAATATTTTAGTAATCTTTATGTTTACTCTTCTATATCCATGAGTTATGTCAGAAAATTGTCTGTGTGAATGTAGTTGTTTTCGTGAAGATGCCACCCATAAATCTTTCATCAATTTTTTTTCTTAAATAACATCGTCCGTACAGAACTTAAAAAGAAATAACCATAGATTATTCTTTTTTCCATAGAATTTACTATGAAGTTGAGATGGTGAGGATTTGTAGCTCAGGTGGATGATTTTGGTGGAGTTTTGTTCTCTGAGCTGGATGGTTTGGTCGTGGAGTTTTCATCGTTCTTCTGAACGACATCATCAGCACAAACTTCAGATATCTGGAGTCAGTCAGTGAATGAGTGAGTGTATATATGTGTGTGGCACAATTATACCTGTAGTTATAGTGTCATTATTATTGTTATTGTATTGAATAAGCTTCATATGCTTTCTCAATCAACCGAATATCTGAAGTTTGTGCTGATGATGTCGTTCAGATGAACGATGAAAGTTCCACGACCAAACCAACCAGCTAAGAGAACAAAACTCCAAAATTACTATGAAGTGTACACCGAGAATAAATTTTAAAAAATCATCTCTTTCCAAAGTCTTCATTGACATTGCTGTCTAGAAACGCAAGAAAAGCTTGACACTAGAGAATGCAACTTCACCGAAATCATCATTTTCAAACAAACATTTCTCCCACCAATATTGAATATTGCTACGATTATGTTTTGCTCAGTGCCCGATTGATGATTACTCGTGAAGATTAAATGGATGATGTGAAGCTCATCCCTAAGATGAAAATATGTCAGATGACAAAATAACTACCAAGCAAACAAAGTTTATCGATTTTGCATAAACCCACACAATTATTTATTTGCAAAATAATTGACACAAAAATGAACATAATCAGAAATTATCTTGATAAAGTTTGAATCTTCTCGTTGTCGACAGATTAAGGACTACAATTGGCCAGTTTTTTTTGGATATGTGCATCGTGAGCCAAGTACCTTGATACTGCCATCAACTCACAAATTTTTGAGTAGAGTTAGAAATGGAAATCACGCTCTTCCTATTTGGGAATTTTCAACTAGATGCAGTCGCATCCTAGTGTTGATGCTTAAGTTTGGATTCGAACTTACTATCTTTCGCTTTAAATGTCTATCGATTTGTTCGCTGATCTGCTGAGTCCAGAAGGACACTAAATTTTCTATCATAGATGGATTTCTTCTCGTTTCTATGGGTTTGAATCGTTTAATTTTGCTTAAAAACTTTTGACTGGATGGTAGTCTGATCGCAATACATTTATCTCAAGTGACCGATCGATTGCAATGATAAATCTTCTGACTGAACGCTTGAATAGGTTACCTAAATTCTTCTGGTACCTTCCAGGTGAAATCTACAAGACAAATTAAACATGAAAGAAAAGGCTCAAAATATGAAAAGTAAGCTTTACACCTAGGTTAGTTTATGTGCAGAAAACCTAGGGTGTTTATAAAATTTCAGATGGCCTTGGGCTTCTGAAAAGTTTTGGAACCCTTCTAAACATAGTAGCAGGATAGGTAGTCATCCAATCAGAAATGTGACACGTGACGTTTAAATTTCTAGATGTTTCTGAGAAACGTCTATTGAGTGCTAATTGGATGAGATGTTTTCCAGAGTTTTCAAGGCTCCTTTGGGCTTTTTTCGAGGGATTTTTTGGATCTCCCTAATATACAGTCATTATTGTCAAAAAGACTAGATTCAAACCTTTACAAATAAAACAAAATTCATCCCTGAAGCATAAGCTGTTATCTGTCTGGACTCAGTAGCCCACTAAGTAACGCGCTGATGCTTGATAGTTGAGATCATGAGTCAATTAAAGGTAGACCACCATGGAAAACCTGGAAGAACTGAACGGCTGTTTCAACATATGGCCACTAGTGACTAGACTCATGAGGTATTTCCTGGAGTTCTAGTGAGAAGCTGTGACCAGTGGAGTTCAACCAGGTCGATTGTGAGATAGTAACTCATTGAAGACAATGGTGGATGTGCCGCTCGATTTCGTGGATTGGTTGAAGTTAGACATTAACACCGCTGGATGCCGGCCGGCGCACTGGTCTAGTGGATAAGTGCTCGCGCGTGAGACCGATAGGTCTTGAGTCCGAATCTCGCGAGGCGGGATCGTTGATGCGCACTACTAAGGAGTTCCATAATAGGACGAAACGGCCGTCCAGTGTTTCCAGGTTTTCCATAGTGGTCTAACTTCAATCGACTCATGATCTCAACCATGGAAATTACCATAATATCCACAAAACCCCTTCTGATGCAAATAAATAAATATGATGTATCAATTCAACAAACTAATTACACATACGAAACAAAATATTTTTAAATAACTTTTGAAATCGTAGTACAGTAAAATGCCAACTTGAGATATAAGGTGGTGAAACTATTCAGTGGCCAATCAATCGTCAATGTTAACTTATTAGTTACAGATAAAAATTAAACAAATATTCACATATAGACTGTATTCTTCACAGATTTATCTTAAAAAGACAAGTTGATTTGCAACTGGGTGATCATTGGGTAGTGATTAATGTCATATATATTACCTCTTTGTTAGTGCAGATCGAATTCTATTGAAAAAGTTGCAATGTGGTCACTAGTCTAGATGATTTGACATCTAGTGCACTATGTTGATATGCACAGTGGTGGTTGGAGGTAATCGACAGGGAACCCTGGACCTAGGTGACATGCTATTTGACACTTATCAACAAGATGTATCTGAGCGGAGAAAATGCTTTCCATTTAGTTCTTCATCAACGCTCTACACTAATATATAGGTTATATAAGTGAATAGAAAGACGATACTAATGAGATGTTGATCAGTTTAAGAAAATAATAATCGGTTAGTTACACAATTTTTTAAACATTAGGATTAAAAATAAAGTGAATTTTCATAATCGGTTAATTGTTACAAATGGTTACATAATTAATATTGGATGTAAATATAAATGTTTTTTTGTTATCTGTGAAATTGATGATAAGTAATGAGTAGGACGGATGCAATGAAAATTAGATAATACGAATAATAAATAGGTTATGTAAGATTAGAACTAAGAATTGAAATTGTAATGAAATTAAAGTTCAGAAATCTTTTTTTAAGAGAAGGGAAAGAAGAGTTTTGAAACATTTAATGGTATCTAAGTAGAAAGCCATGGTATGTTCAAAAGTTTTATAAACTTTTTCTGTAGATAAAGGTTAGGTTTTTTGTTCTGTATTCCTAGGGTTTCTACTATATGTAAGAGTTGGATTCTGGAACCATAGGGTAGATTCGGTGAGATTTTATAAATAACTTTACACACTGGAGTTATATCTAAGTGGTAATCGGTATCGACTAAATGCACCAAGATAGAGCTCGTTATTACTTTCTTTTTCCCTTTGGTCAACCATAATGGGTGATGTCCAGAAATACGATGATGTACTTGTCTAATTGTGCGCCCAATATAACTAGCTCCACAGGAGAAGTTGGAATTATAAATATACGTACAGGAAGAAGAACTAGGCAATTTATCCTTAAGTCGTGAAATCACTATTAAATGGATGAAGGAAGTAGCACATAATCTCGCTGCACTGAATGTACGTTCTAAGACTTTTTGTATACGTCCAGTTACTATTTCGCTGAATACATCACTTTTGAACTAGTTTGAAGAATATATACTAATTTGGTACCATCGATGATTTTGTTTCAGGCTTAGTTGCAGACATATGTTTGGTTAGGAATATTGATGAGTATCCATCCTTACGTAATAAATCCTGAATAAGTCTTAGTTCCTATTACAGACTGTCCCCAAAATAAATAATTTTGGCTCTGTGAGTGAAGCACTTGATTAAGTTTCTCTTATATTGTAATGGGACAAAGTTAGAAAAGTGTGCATATTGGCTTTGTGTAGTGGATTTACGATAAACACCCCTTTTTATGGACCCATCAGTTCTCGTCAATAGGACGTCTACGACGGAGATAGCGTCGTACTTATTTCTTTCTATTGTGAAGATAATTGCCTAATGGACTTT